AACTGACTTGATATCTTTCATCCCCTTGGAAAACTCAATCGATTAGCGTTTTCCATTTTCTTCTAGCTCAAAAAAGAATTTTTGAGTCCAAAAAGAGTCAAGTGTAACCTCTTGATGTTTTTGAGAGGTCTTTGGTCAACTTTGGAAAATGGAAAAACTAAATCTGCCATTTTATAGATCCATATCACGGCATGAACAAAATGAAGAGAGTTCTTTTCTACCTTTATTATTTTCCGAGAAAATCGCAGCGGAAATATTTTTAGGCACATGTTATATTTCAATTTTTTTAACTGTTGTCTTCTCTAGGATTTAATGCTAAACATCGTGGTGTTTTTCATTTTTGTTCATCTCTATTAGTTCCTGAGATAATTGATTTTTAAGTCTTGATGGGAGTGCACATTTCACTTAATGAGATTTAATGGAAAATTCCTTACTGCTCTTAGGAGAAATGTTGTTTAAATGGTATTATTAAGAGCCCCTCTACACAATGAGGCAGTTCTCAATATTTAATTAAACAACTCTTTTAAATAACAGGAGCCTCCGCCAAAGTTTTCATAATTAATAATTTTTATTAAATTTAAAATAAAATTACTGTTTTATCATTCAGGAATTCAAAATTACAACTTTTAATTTTAATGTTTCGACGGTAAAACTTTAAGAAGAAAGTTTGACTCTGTTGTTCAAGCAATAAAAAATTTAAGAATACAGTTCAACCCTGTTATTCGACTAAAAAAATTTGGCCTAGTTCTTTGAAAAAAAAAATTTATAAAAAAATTTGACTCTGTTTTTCGACCAAAAAAAATTTTACCAAAAAAGTTCGTCCCTGTTGTTCGACCAAAAAATTTTTAGGAAAATAAGTTCGACCCTGTTCTTCGACCGAAAAATGTTTTAACAAAAAAGTTGGGCCCTGTTGTTTGAACGAAATTTTTTTAGGAAAATAAGTTCGACCCTGTTCTTTAACCGAAAAAAAAAATTTACAAAAAAGTTTGACCCTGTTATTGGACCGAAAAATGAAATTTTTGAGACAAAAATTGCTATTTTCAAAGCACTTCCGAAAGGACTAGAGAATTAAAATGATATGCATCATGTAGAGAGACTTTCGAACTTCAACATAGCGATAAGAAACTAGAAAAAAGTCAAATAGTTCTCGAGATACATGGTGTTTTCCACACCATGTTTTCAACTTTCTGTTAAAATGCTAATTTTTAAAGGGCATTTTAGGGTTCTTCCGAAAGGGCTAGAAGATTGAAAAGGCATGCATAGTGTAGGGAAACTTTCGAACTTTAAAATAACCGTAAAAAACTTCAAAAAAGTCAATTAATTCGCGAGATACAGGGTGTTTTGCGCGCCATGTTTTTAATTCTTTTGCAAAATGTCAATTTGTAATGAGAGTTTTGGGGCACTTCTAAAAGGGGTAGAAAATTGACAAGATATGCATCGTATAAAGGAACTCTCGAGCTTTAACATGGCCTTGACAAACTTTGAAAATGTTAATTTGTTCCGAAATACTGGGTGTTTTCTACAACATATTTATATACTTTTTAAAAAATGCTACTTTTTCAAAAAAAAAAAACACTTTTGAGCATTTTCAGAAGTGCTAGGGGGTTGCAAATATATGCATCATATATGGAAACTCTTTAACTCTATCATGGCGGTGAGAGACTTTAAAAAAGTCATATTTTGGGATATACTGGGTGTTATTTTGCTGATCACAATAAAAACGAAATTTTACATTTACCATCTTCCATTAAATATTATTAAACTTTATATATCATATCGCATACCAGATTTGCATCGTGCTATCTTCACGTCTTAATATGTTTGGAGGTAACTCGTTGATGTTGAAGAGACGTTATCGATTTATTTTTTTATGTGGAATATTGACTTAAATATGCAAATGTTAGTCATAGTAATCGATGGAAATTTCACTCGCTGACAAATTTTGCTCATAAAACTTTCGCGAGTGGAGCTTTTTCATCGTCTGAGAGTTTGATCAGATCTCGCTGATCATACTGTCTGTTCCCGTGCAATGAAGCATTGAACAACATCGACGTATCAACCGACTGTGTATTCTATTAGATTTCGCTAGATTGATGTGTATTATTTATCCAGCGACGAAAAAAAAAAACTCCAGACTTTCAAGTTTCTCCTGCGTTTGAAATAAAATACGTGCCGCTGAGATGAATATCGGTTCGCACGGTTTGGAAATCATTACGTTTGACAAATAGGCGCTTGTCATCGCAATTTGGAACGAAGGCGCAAACATTCATGCAGAGTGCACGATTCACCAGCACACCGCCGCAAATTTTCGTAATAATTACTTTTTTGATCGGCGCGCATCGCAAACTTTTCGTTTGATTTCCAAACGCGGCCATTTCGGCGTCTACCGCCTACGCTCAAAGACAAAGTACGTGACATTTAATAATTCTCCAATATGACAGCGATTTGGTCTCATCTCACATTGTCCCAAATCGTGGATTAAAATTAAACGCAGGAATTTCAATTAAATTGCCAATCGGTTGGTGATATTTCTTTAAACTTGTTGCCAACTCCCTCTCGAGCCTCGTCAATCCGTCGACTTTCAGTAGTCCCATCCCCGAACGCGGAGTTTGTTCATATTTAATCGAAATAATTGTTCTCGGGCTCAATTTTTGCTGCAGAAACCAAGCAGTCATTGTAAGAATACGCCCCCGTGCGCACTTAGAGATTTCCAGCTCCACTGGAAGAATGGATGGAAAACTTTATTCATAAATCGAATAAAAAGGAGTCTCGACGGGGGCCCAGCGCAAGAAAATAGAGTTGGAAAGTTAGCCGGGCGCTAGACCGGCGCACTGTGCGGCGACAGTCTCACACAAGAGCCGAATTAATTAAAACGTAAAAAACTTCCACTACAGCGCGCCTGTAATTGTGAATTGTGCGCTCGCCATATATTTCAATACGTAACGAACAAGCGGGTGGAACACAACGAATTGCTGTGGCAGGGTGGCTGAAGCGCGAACACAATCGAAACCAGCGGCCGCAGTCGAAAATGAAAGAGCATTGACAAAACTAGCTAATGAATATTCATCAATTTTCCTATAGATATCATTATTTTAGCAGGGAATTATATGCATTAAGCGATTTTAAATGCGTTGTCAAATTTAATTTAAAATGCGCATATTAATGTATTTCACTATGATGTCCTCTTTTTAGAAATAGTCATTAAATGTTGACGTTGTGAAATATTTACTTTTGAACAAAAAAAATTATTTAATTCAAAATATTTTTTAATTAATACAAACTTGTTAAAACGAGGCTAATGCCATGAAGGGTTTTGTTGTCCTTGTTGGCTGGAAAAGTTGTCGACTAATGTAGTTGCGGATGGAAAGACGCAGTCCTTCAGCACTAGCTGCGCTCGGCTTTTTTTCCTCCTCCTGCCTACTGTCGAAGTTTCTGCTGCGTAGCCTGGATGTGCTTGCTCTCAATCTATATCGCGTCGGCTGTGGTAGTATTAGCCATAATAGTCGTGCGCAGTGTAGTGGTTGGTGGTCGTCGAACGAAACGAGGATAACTTAATATCGCTTCAGTCCGGGCGTAATCAAGCATCGAATAATGGTCTTTGGGTTTTCGCTTTTTCTCCACTTTTGATCAGGAAGCGTCCATTATGAAGCGTAACAGATGATATGGCGAGGATGCGCGCGCGCAGGAACAAAACGGTGTATTTATACAGCACACTCGACTTGCTCGCCCACAATCACTACCGCATTGTTATCTATAATTCAGGAGTTAAGATGTTCACATACAGTTCTCCTTTGCCGGCGGCTTAACCGGCGAAAATCCTAACGTGAAATGAACATAAGAAATCAACACACACACAAAAAAATCAAAAATCAAAAATCTGATGGATGCTCTAAGATGATACTACAAACCTAAAAAGATAAGAATAATTCTTGTTAAAACTTGAGAAAGATATCCGGCGCGCATTTAAATGCGCGGGTGTCGGCAGCGATTCGGCTTGAAAGTTTTTATATACGTTTCCTCGATGCTGGCTGATCCTCGAAACCGCGAGCGGGCTTCTTGTGTGCGCATATTGCCAGGGGAACCATATTTTACGTAAGACAAAAGTTATTACGGAATATTATCACATAAAACCCGACTTTCAACTATAACTTTCGAACAAACCTCAATATAGCTGCGCTCTTCGAAAAGTACGTGTTTGTATCATGAGTCTATGTATGTATGTGTGTGTGTGTTTCCTCATCTCGCTCATCTTCGAAGACGGTGGCGCGGAGCGTACGCCCAACATAATGTTGTTCATTTCGCGAGGAATTTGCTCCGGTATCGACGAATACAGATCACGTATTGGACGCGTCTCGAAGATGTTCACCTTAATCAAAATAAACATTTTTAGCGCCTCAAAGGAATCGCAAAACGAAATAATACGCGTAATACATGTCGTTGCAAAAAGACGGACGTGCGGAAACTATATGAAAAGAACATACGATTTATCCACCAACTAAAATATATGATTTCGAGATAAATCGTAAACGGAAATTATCAAAAATTGTATAACCAGCCAAAAATAAACGAAATGAAAAATGAGTAGCGGCTGTGCGAAGCTATCGGCACGTGCATTTTATGAAAACTTTTCAATGTATGTCTCGTAATGCATTGTGTTTTCGTGTCGGCACTTTCGTGCGCGACGAATGGTTATTTTATGTCCTGCAGTATAACGGTGATAATGCCGCGCAAGCAGTGCGCCGAGAGCAACAACAACAACGCACAACTCTATAACATTACAAGCCGCCATGTGTGGCTCGACACAAAAAAAAAACAACAACGAATGTGAAATAATAACATAAAATTTTTGGCTGGATGCTTGTGTCTCAAAAGACAGCAGTTTTGAATACAAAACTTCTATTCGCATTCTATTTATTCATAACTCGTTTTATGCGTCGTTTGCCCGGCGCCTCCACGCTATTCTCGTTCATGATTATTATTATATCGATGTTTTCGAAAAGTTTTTCCAAGTATAAAATTTATTTTCCCAGTAAAACCAAAACTAAAACATTGCAAAAATTAAAAATTTACATCCTGGTTGTAATAGAGTATTAACAAGCTCAGGATGTATAATTAAGGTTAATTAGTTAGAAAATAGTGATTAAAGCAAACACGCCGTAGAGTAAAGCGCAGGGATACATGACGAGCGGCTGCTGATGATCCATGGACAGTGCGGTGACAAACAGCTTGGAAGCGGATAGGCTACACCAGCCGATAGCAATCGATGTTAACACAATTCCGGTGTAACCCCTGAAAACAGTGTGTGTGTGTAGCTGTATATGCTCCAAGTGATGATAGTGTTTTTGGTCGACTTACTGCAGGCTGAGCACGACGTTGACGCCGGACAGGCCGACCATTGGCAGGATGCAATAACCAAGGACGGTGATAACAGTGCCAAGCGCGACGCCGCTGGTCGACATCAGGCTGAGCAGCGCCCACATTCCAACGCAGCCCATCACGCCGATGCCGTAAATGTAGCTGAAGTGCACTTTGCCGCTCTGCAAACAGAAGCGCGCACAGAATGAAACTACTTCGGCGAGGTGCTCGAACCCAAGCGGATGCGAGCCGAATGCAAAGTTCGAGTTCGGGGTCAGAGGAGAGGTGGTGTTGGTTGTTGGATGGATAGGATTGATTCGGCGATTCGGAGTCCGGCCAGCGCGCGTATCGGAAAGCAATTTCAACTTTTTCTATGAATACGATTTTCTGATGGAGCTGGCGTGTGCACTCTACCGAGAAACTAATTAAAGTGCTTGTTAACATTTCGCAAAACAATTGATTTTACTAAATTCAAATCACCCAGTGTAATTTATGTTGTGGAAACTAATTTCCGCTAGTAGAACTCCAGTGATTTTTTTCGCGTCCACTTTCGTTTTTGTAATTTTACTTTTTTGCTGAATTTTATATTTTTATGTTTGCTTTACGGAACGGTCAAAAGGCCGTCCCGCAGCTGGGTCTAAAAAGGGATAAATCTCGGAAAGCCTCAAACGGAATTTAAGTAACAGTTTGTTAAGCATGTTTACATGCTACTTTACCAGCAATAAAAATGCGCCGAATGTAAGGCAGAAAACCAATGGTCCAGCAAAATCCGTATCCTGCATGGCGGCCGCCTCGGCGCTCCGAAACGGGTTCAGCACGGTCAGGGTCTGCAACACACAAAGATACACATACACATAAATATCGTGCAATCGAATAACGCCAAAACGCAACAAAACAAAATGTAAATACATGAATTACGCCGCACAGATTTAAATCGTAAATCAATTTCGATTTGTGGATTTAATTCCGGTAAACTTTTCTTGACGTGCGTGCTGTGTGCGCATGATGCTGATTTACGTTTTCCAATTCTGGTTGATTGATTTATAACGAATTAATCGGCCAAAGTCGCGAGTGCGTTCATTAACATAAAATCTAATTGAGTTTAATTAGAGCGCGTGGCGACGACCTGTGCCACCAGACCTGAAAACAGTCATTTACATTTGCATTTCAGCAAGTTGATTGCAATCATTTCCGCAAACATTACAGCATGCGCTGATGCATTTAAATCAGTGTGCGCTCAACCAATTATCTATTCATATTTTGCCACTTGTGCAAAACTCATGCATTTTCAGGTCAATCAAGATATAAATTTGCATCACTCAAACGAAAAAAAAATTACTAAAATCGGAGCAATTTTGGTGACACCTATTGGAAAAAAAAAATAAAAAAATATCAACCCTTAAATAAAAGGATACTTTCAAGGGCGTTAAAATAGTAGAAAACTTCAGTAATACACCAATAAAACAGTAGAACTACAGCAATCTGCAAAAGGGTGTGATATTAGTTGTAGGGTATTGTAAAGATCAATACATCCCTTATTTTAATGCAGAAATATGTCACTAGAGGGCGCTGCAGATATTAATTTAAGGATAACATGTACATTTTATCTTGGAACACTAAATATTTCAATAAAACCTTACTTTATTCTGTTTTAAACATTGTCGCAGTTTAAATATAAAGAATTTAATCATTAAAAATGCTACTAAACAATATCACGTACCCCAACTTTTAGAAAACTTGCAAAACACAAAACGTGCGTGCCAAAAAGGATAAAAAAAAGTTTATTGTACAAATAGCGAATAGTGCAAACAAACACCGCAAAGCAGTCATCCAAGACGACCATTCGCATGTGCCATTCTTGTGGCTTTTTTTCGCCACCCCATGCAGCCAGTCCTTTTTGTCGATATATAAAAACGTGTTTATTGTACGTGTGCGTTATCCGATTCGCGACGACGTGGACGAAGCTGGCAGCTAGTTAGGGTTTGGGTAAAGACGAAGGCGATTCGAACGAAGTGCTACGCGGACGTGAACGAAGAGAGTGACCAAGAAGGGGTGGTCGTGGCGGTGACGGTATAGAAAGACGTTTTCGATGAGTTAGTGCTGGCGATGCGAACGCGTGGAACTGCTGAATACACACGCGGACGAATAACGGACGGAATGTTCGGTCCAGATTCGCCTATCTGTCCGAGGGGGGCATAATGCTCGGGATAGTGGGATAGGAGTGTACTGGCGGCGGTTTTGCCCCTCAATGTGGTATGTCGTGACCGGAATTTTCCGATGCACATCCTCTCTTGCCCCTCCGGCACAAACAGGCCGCGGCAATAACGTCGCGGTCAACCCCGAAATGAGCTACTCGGCCGGAATCGTTCGGCTTTTCCGAATAATATCCTTGTTGGGAAATGTCCCGCAAAAGATATAAAATATGTAACTTGCGCGGAATACTAATGTGCCGCGAGGAAAACGATACGAAAGTGAGATGCCAACTTATTGCCATCGTGAAAACAACCCCTAGTTGTATACAACTACTAAACCTACTAAATATTTGTATGCTTACATCAGACAAACTCAACAACAACAAACTCAAATAGAATTTTTAATCTTTAAATGTTTCTGACATGATAAAAAAATTTGTGCAAAAAATGTTTGTCAGCATTTTAGAAAATTAATGTTTAACTCACTTAGTCTATCCCTCGGGCAGACTCTCATAGTTCGAAGCCCGTAACGCATTTAAGTAATTAATTTCGGCAAAGCTTCACAAAAGTTTACAACTATTCTGTTCCGTGCACGCGCGCACCGGAGTTCATTATAATCGAGAAGGGTGGCTGGCTGGCTGATAGCATGAAGCGGTTAAGTCGTCTGGTGCATACTCCGCTGCTGCGTGCATTTATTACCATATCAAAGCTTTAAAGCCGTCGACGCAAAGCTTCAGTGTCGATACATCAATCATTCCAGTCTTTTCAACGCTCCCTTCGACGCGAACGAACTTATTCCTCGCAAGTCAGCAGTTTCATTTTAATTATTGCAAAATACGACGTAAAACTTACAAAGTACTGTCAGCATTTTTGTCGCAATAACATATTCAAGTGAATAAACATGCAAAATAGCCGGCGTATGAATAAATTAATATGGAAATGATATAACAGTGTTGATTTTATCGCCGTTCGACAATAGGGTACAAAACTGTAAATATATGCGCTTATTATTTATGTATAAAGTACATATGTTATTATGTAACAATCGGTAATATTCAGAAATTGGGAACATTAATTTTCTACTCCATTCGGACAGAAATAAATTGTTATTAAAAGTTATATTCGAATACATTGTGTTTCAATTAGTGTTAATAGTATATGATGCAACATCACAATTGCATTAGAGTTAATCAATAGTACGTGTTAGATGACAGATGGATACAATGTTGGTGCGGGCAATTCGATATGATTTATTCATGTTTCTTCGCAAGTAAATAATTAATATTTAATAGCTGGAATATTAATTTTTTGTGATAGAGATTTCTGAGAATCTGCTCCGGGTTTAATTAGATTCTAATGGGAAATAATTCGATAAACCGCGTTCGCCGGCAGTGTTTATCTTAGCGTTAACGTCTTAAACAAACGCGCAATTATGTCGCGCTGCCGAAAAGCTCACAAATTTCTTCGCCGCCGGCTGCTTTCAAAGGTGAAGGTAACGGTAGAGGTAAAAACCCAATGTCAAACAAGTAAAAAGCAGCGTAAATAATAACACGCATTTTTTACGATTATGTTTTGTACCATAAACATGTAGATAGGTAAGTAATTTTATTATAATGTATCTTTATTTGTTTTTAGATATTTTTTCTATTTCTCATGTGTGTTGTGCTGGACCGGCATCTCACAACTTGCCAGTTGGTAATTTATCGAGCCAAGTTTAATCCTCGCGGCTGCCGTAAACGGACGAATAAAAGTTGTACACGGCGGGCGCGCGGACAAGCACCCCGGAGGTGTTTTACAAAAGAAACTTGTCGCTTGTTAAGTTGGAAACAAGGACTGACTGCGGCTGCGGCACAGGGTTGTCGGTCGACGCAGTTTTGGGCACTTTGGCGTACGTGCCGTAAACTGATAAACACAGTTTAACAACAACCCGGCCAAGAACTGATTACGATTTTACTTTGCGTCGCACGTAGTGATAGCTGATAGTAGTTTCAAAGACGCTCGTCATTAGATATTTAATCATAATATATTTTGGGCCCACAAAGGTATTTATTGATATCCTCACGAGACTTTTATTACTTTTTTTCTCTATAGGCTCGGGTGATTCTTTCGTTACTTGTTGTTGTGCGAGGGTGCAACATATCAAAGCATAGAGCGCCAGATTTTCCCAACGACCTCGACCGATTTCCCCCCGAAAGCAAAGGTAAAGACTACTCCCAGACCTCGCACCACACAAACTAAATTATCTCGAATGAATAAATGAAAACGTATTTCGCAGGCCCATAACAAGGGGATAGTGTTTCCCTCAGTAACCATTTACTAGACGAGCGATCTGATATGTTGTGAATTGTGAGATATGATTGAAAACCACCGCATTGCGGTGTATTTCCGTGGAATGACCTTGTGCTTACCTTTCTATAGAAAACCGCTGAACCAATATTAAACAAATTTGTTAAGAGTGATATAGGTAGCTGTCAGGTTTGAAAACGTCAAAAAAAGAGAAAAAGGTGAAAAATAAAGCTGTGGTTGTTCAAGGGAGTAAAACATGTGATAAATTGTGTTTTGGAGAGCGGAATAAAGAGCAAATTAAATTTGCGATCATATCGCATATCGACGTCACGTAAAAGCAGCGAAGATGTATCGCGACGATGGGCACACAATGCCAACAAATCGGGCGGTGCGCGCGCGTCCATGGGGGGCGGTCGACGAAGAGGCGCACGTAGATAAACCATTTGCTCGGTCATCGAGGCGCTATCTGGCACTGTCGATCAGCTGCACGAACGGCACGAAATTGAAGTCTCTCGTCCGAGCGCTGGCGTCCGCTCAAATAGACACGAATCGATGTCTGCCGCCGCCACCGCCGGTTTTTTTTCACTCCAAGCCTGCTCCTCGATTTGGCAGCGCCTGGACCTGAGTTTATCGGGCCAATTACCCGTCTCTAATTGCCAACCTGATTTGGAACTTCCTCATTGACTTCGTTTATCAATTTATTATTGTGCTGGATGCCAGCGGTCGAGTTTTGCTTTATATTTTATTAACCAAGCGAGTTTTCATCAGGAAAATTGTGTACACTACAATTGTGCACTCGAGCCAAAATACGAGACGATAAAGAAGATAGCAATGGCAAACGAGTCGGAAAAAAATGGCATAATGCTGGCGGCAATCAAAATTGACATCCGACTGTGTCGGCGACGGCGGTGATTTCTTTATAGTTGCGGCAATAAAATTCCGAGTCGTTAAATTTAAACCTTTAAATCCCCTCGCGGCGGGAGCGCAACGCGGGGGCGTAAACAGTGGAAGACGTGCCGTCGAGCGCTCAAAGTAGTCAGTGACAGATTCAGATTCCGCCTCGGACGGATGGCTCGATGGGCGGCAATAAATAAACTCGTATTTTCGCGCCGCCCCAAGAAAACGTCGCATCAGCGCTACCGCATACATTGTTCTCGCACGTAAACCTTTCAAAACCAGCCCTCCAAAGGTGCGTTTCGATCAGACCACCAAAGAATGACAAATTCTATGTCATCATAGATTAATCAACAACAAAACCTGAACCAAAAAAAAACGTCCCTTTAGGCGTCAAAATCGCGTTCAATCAGCCGCCAACAAATGCAATTTATCGTTTAATTGTTTCCGCCGTGGATAACTTCATAACTTCACACTGACAGCTATGCATGCGTCCTGCAAACAACTTCATCACGTGACAATTGCCATCACATTGCAAACGGAAATTAATCAAGTTATTTGCACTGGACGTCGAGAGTTATTGCCGCGAAGCAGACGCAATTTTTGACATTTTTCATTTTCCAAAGGACCACATCAAACGACATTGTTTCGCGGAGAGTGTGCGCAGTGTTTTAATACGATTGTGTATTCCAAGCAGACACAATGCTTTCAATGCAAGGCGAAAAATGTGACAAAAAGCAAACCAGAGCCGCGGAGTGAGCGCGTACATGCAGCTGACCTGGACAAATTGAGTTGTAGACGATGTGGCCAGCAGTCGCATCACGTCCTGAAAACAAATCAGATAAAATATATATATTTCGATCCATATACACTGTCACACACAAGTCCTCCTGAATATTTTACAACTTGATCTAGCACAACGCAACCTCAATCCATAGCACGTCGTTAGTGAGTCATTCAAAGTCATTTCGAGATGATTCACTTCGGTCAGGTAATCTTATCAGCTGATAGATCTCCTGACCCAAGCAATAATATATGATAAGCTTGCACAAGTTAGCATTGAGGGCTACACCAGTGAAGAGAGGGAAGTTGGAAAATCGTTTGGGACATTGGAATACCCAAAGGACAAAAACATCCATTAGAGGGTGGATTTCTGGATAATTCCTTGATAATACCCACCAGCGCCGCGAATAATAAATGCATTAAACGAACGCATAGCCGCTAAGCCCACACGAAAGAACTAAAACCAACTAGTCGTAATTAATTAACGTTTTAATTATTTTATGCGTGCTGATAATGCCCACCTCCTACTAATTGGTTAATTATTGCCGGAGATAAAGAGAGCGCTGCAGTGCGCAAACACAGGCAAGTCATTATTGTAAATATGACTTTATGTTTACTGCGCTGATGAAATAACAAAGTTCAGCGTCGAGCGTAAAAATTTCAAGATATCGAGGTTACGACCATTTCGCTGGAATAAAATAAAAGCAGAAAATGTTTAATTGTGCGTGAAATGCTTTCTTTTCGCCCGGAACAAGTGCTACGCCAACTCTCCGACAACACTTACATTACTATAAAAATGTGAATTCGCGAAACGGAAGCGCAAGTGTACAAAGTACACTTTCGCAGCGGAAAGAAACGAACGGAAGACACGGTTACGTTTCGCGCTTCTCGCTCTATTATTACGTCAAAAGTGCCTCGCGCAAACACTCATGTCGAATGAAAGTGCGCGCATGCAGATGAAGTGTTCCTTAAGCGTCCTCGCGAGTTGCGCCCTGTTTATCTACGCCCCCGCATTCTTTGCCGTTCTTTGCCCCCTATTCAGCGCACAAGGTAATAATCTGGTAATACACGTACGAGCGTTTCAATAAATCCCCGTGTAAACAACTTTACCCTTCGCGCCACACACAACACAATTTCTCGCAGTGTGCATTGGAATCTTGGGAAACACAACCCCAGGGTTGAAATGGGGATGAAATTCAAGCATATCCTCTGCGTCTCGTGGGGTGGTGTGAGGTGGCCCCCAGAGTGCCAAGAAGGTTCTGTGCGGTGAAGATATATCAACGACAAGAAGGGGATGCATACGCGGAGTGAGGGCGCGGAAAAGCAATCGGCGAATATCCTCGACCGCGACCGCTAAGCGCACCCTTCACCCCAAGTTTCCACCCTTTGCTCGCAACAGTTGAGTGATTCACTTAACCAAACGGTCAGATGCCTTCATGTCGGATCACATTACAGAAACAGACTTTATTTATTAATTTAACATTTTCACATGGCAGCATAATAACAATTTGAAAGGTCTGTAGATAAAAAAGTAATTTTTCCAAACAAACAAAGCAAAAATGTATGCAGTCAATGCGTGTCATCAAAAAATCGCATTGAGGAAATGACATTCACAACTAAACTGGTTAATCCAAAATTGCGTGGACAGTGACAATACGAAACGAATCATTTCTACCAAATTTGTTTCGAATAGAAATCAAAAACAATAACGCGTTGAGGTATTTAGCAAACTCTCTCAATCACGCATTGGACCAGCTCCGGCGTCCGTGTACAAAATTTAATTAGTATTCGGTTATTCAGTAAATCTCCAGAGCGTTATGATGCTTCAGTTTTAATTGAATTCGCCGTATATTTTGACACACAGCACGCATACACAAATCACGCCCGTGTCCATTGTGATGCGCGAACAATCTCCGGCGTCTGCTGCGGTAATTGTCGCTAAATACGCGCGCAGCACTAAACAAACACGCGCCGCCGACATGTGCGATAAACAAAAAGCGTGTGCGAAGCAAATAAAGCGAAACGCGAAAGACTCGAAAGGGTTTGGGATTTTGGTTGGGAAGGAGGCGGTGTGCACCATCGCAATTCATGTGGTCGCTGCACATCCGCTCTGAGGGGGCGGCGGCTGCGTGGGTGGGTGGCCGAAACGATGACGACTCATCATCGCAATGTCCCCCACATGTCATCCGACGCACTCGTGCGCTGACACGCGATTTGTCCCCTTGATGATGAAAATCCACCCGTTGCGCTGCTGATGACACATATTATTGTATTACATGCGCGTACACCATACGGCATTCTTCAGGCAACTAATTAATTTTCCGCCCGCCAGTAAACTTGTATCGCGCGACATCTACTCACATCGCGGATTTACATTTATATTCGAAAAATATAAAATATCACATATGATTTTACTACGCCTCCATAGGCTGGAAAGCAAATAGTTAGATATGCGTGAAATATCGATGTTATTGTTAAAATTGATGATGCAAATTTGAATACGAAATCCAGCGTAAGCTCAGAATCGTGGAAATGTAAATTCTTTCGATTTAAGGGCGCACTCGAAGCGGCAGTAACTTCCAACAGTAATAACTGCGACGTTCCGCATGCAAAAGGCAACTTCCAAGATGATGGAATCGTCCGGAGTGCAAATACGACCGCCACTCGGCTTGTAATTTGAGTAGATAAAGCAATTAATCGATTGCGAGGGCATAAATTATGTTAGTTTAAGTCATGCATACGTAACGCACGGCTCTCTCACATGCGCCCCGGTAATAACAGAGTGAAGGCAGATCGGGATAATGGCTGTTCGGAAAAGTCATCAAAGTGTTTCCTCTCGCCAGACTTCGGGAGCAAGTTTCCAAGCTGCAAACGCCGCTAACACGCTAACACGCGAACAACCTTGAAGAGTTTCAGCCCGCAGACGGCACTCTACAGTCAGTACCAGATTTAGTCGCTTAGTTCGCTTAGTTGCCACTGTACCTCCTACTCGTACCCCGACCGCAATTTTAACTAGCTCGGTTAACTAGTCTGTGTCTCTCTACTTGCCAGCAAGACGAGTGAGGCGGACGGGGTTTGAATGAACTTGTTTAAACACTTTTCGAATTAGAATTAAAGGTACGAACACGACCGCGGTATTAAAATTTAATTTCATCATCTGTAAATATGCGCCGACAGTGTGTATACATTGCGGTTGAATTCTGGGCCAATGGGTGGGTTGCAAAAGAGCAAAAGGGTGAAAGTGCGCTGCGCATCTCTGAGGTGCCCTCATTACAATCCGGATCGTTTGTGTAATTCCCCGAGTGGTTTGGCCAATTCCCTGAATTATATTCAAACTTGCCTCGTCTTCAAACCCTTCAATACCATCGAAATTTAATTAGAAGGACCATCTTTACTAACTTGTTTTTTTATGTACTTTTTTTTCTCTCCCCATAAACCCTTATTTATCATGTGTTATCGTTAACTAAGTAATGAAAGCTTTTTCAGCGTTGAAAGTGCTGAAAGAAGTTTGAGTAATTTATAATGACTAAAAAGATGGTAAACACAGATTAGACCTTGGAACGGTAGAGTGGAAAAAGCGTCGCCAGACGCACATCTACAGCGTGATGTGCAAATTTTAATCCGTAAAATCAACAAATTAATTGCACACCCACAAAAACACAATTGCTTCATTCACGGCGGCAGAAACAAATACAAATATATTTTCATAACACTTTGCTTGGTGTTAGCTATTGGGGGTTGTTATTAGGTAGAGGATTAAATAATTCTAAGCGCTGGTGTAAACACATTGTGTGTACATCCCTTACGCGATCGCTATTCAAGGTTTTCTAGGGTTTTCAGTCCTCTGTAAACATGTCATCGCATAGGCGTTTGCTGATTATCGGATAAGGATTCTCCGACATCAGGGTTATACATGTCTACGGCATTGTGGTAGTGGTGGGCAGACGTTTGCCTTTAATACGATTTAATTAATAAGACCTTTTTATTAGGTTAATGTGGCCTTTTATGTATATTCTCTAAGTGGAAATGTATTTTTCTGTGGAAATTGAATACAAAATTGACAAAGTTTAATTTCGTCTGAGTGATACAATTATTTCCGTAACAAGACGAAGATGTTCCGCACAGCATGATGAAGAGGATATTATACTGGATATGTTATTCAGTCTAAGGAGGTTCAAGGGTTAACGTGTAGAGTTGAGAGAGTGTTAGGGCTGAGGTGTACCGCAGACCGACCTCTTCTGCTGTCCCGTGTCGTAATTACAAACCCCCTCAGGGACGCAAACAAACGCTGGACCAATAAACATTGTTGAAAGGTGTTTGTTAAACAGCGACATTTTTTCATAAACTACATCGTGGTTAGTATAAGTCATGGGCGTGTCTGCTTTTTTTGTTGTGCAAAAAAACATCAAAAAACTCATTAGCATTCAAATTTCTTCGGCGGGTGCGTGTGGGACTCGTTGGGGTAGGCTCATTTACATGCATATTTTAGCGCGATATAGGTCGCCCACAAACCGCCAAACGAAATTATAGTTTTTAAATCAACAAAGCACGAGCGACGCTCAATAAATATTATTTCCTAAGTCAGCTGTAGCAAAGAGCTCAAAGTGAACATTTATTGCCATGAAAAAGTAAGTCGCAAGTCAAAAAGAGTCCAACATGCAAGAAAAATATTGCTCTATTTTCTGAAACAATATAATTCCGATCTTAGCGGTGTATTTGATCCTTAAACTTTTCTCTTTCATAGAAAACCTTTGCGTACGCATAAAACGTAACCAAACACTTCATTAAAAGCGACTCGGTGGAAGTTTAATTTGGCGAGGTTGGCCTCGCCGTCCATATATACCTTCGATAACTTCGGCTTCGACTTTTCTTCGTTTGCCACTTCGTGTTTTCGATGTTTTCAATACCCCGACCGCTGCGTTACGACATTGCTTTCTTCCTCCAGAAAGACTTAATGGCTTCCAGCCCGCCGAAAGGAAGCTAATCAATAAAACCTTTAACTCGACGTTGCCCTTTTCGCACATACCCCTATACCCACTCACT